GACCTTTAATTAAAAAGTTTGAGTACCCCTGATATACATGGTAAAAATGTGCAGGTTTTGGTGAAATTCATTCCTTGTTCTTTCTTCTGCATAATCTTCACACTTTATGCATTCAATGTGTGTCGTTTTAAACACAAACTTAATATAAAATCAAAACAGCTTGAACTCTTTTATCTGCAAGATCATATACACATTTGTTCACAAAACGTGCAATGCCACAGATCTCACATTGGATTCAAAAGTCAAATGTACTATCAAATATTTGAATGTAATTTACACTTTGAATTGCCTTGAAAAGTGCTATATAAATAAACTTGCCTTGCCTTGCCTTACATTTTTTGCATATTCAGATATTGTGATACGCAGATAAAATACCCGTGGCCCTATTTTGACTCCATAGTCTTTCTGCTTTTAAGAACTCAGGAAAGACAAATCATGATGGGAAATATGTCATGGTCAGAAATAACATTTTATTCAAAATTAATATTAAGGGTTACTAAATGGAAGGATTGAGCAGAGACAGCTTTCTATGAACAGTTGCATGCAGCTCTTGTGTAAGGATATTATCAGCAGTATCGGCAGCAGTAACATTGTTGTATGGTTATCACATTACAGCTTATTTGGGTACCACATCATTTGTTTTTGATAAGCATAATCACATTTCCTGAGTAGATGTAGAGCATATTGATATAAGAAATAGATATTATCCAGATGACACAGGAGGTCACTCTAGTCCAAGCACTGCTACTGCCACCTGATGGTGTAAAAAAGAGGTAATGTATATATATTTGTATTTAAATATTTGTATTTAACATGTTTTAGCTATTTTAAAATTGGGAAAGGAAATATCTTTAATGTCACAAGACATACATTTGTATAATAAGGACTGATTTGTAATTTTTGTTATTACCAGATAGAGAATGTTGGACCTGAATGTGTCTTTTTTCTTAGCCGTATTGTGCTGAAGAACACTGTAGCTGTGCAAAAACATACAGAAATGACAGTTATTTACTCTCCTTAGGGCTTGTGTATAATGCATAATAAATTGCGTTTAATAAAGTGCAGGAAGAGGCAGAAAAATCTAAACAAGCAACTAGCAGTTCTGTTTTTTGGCCAAAAGGGGGCGGAAGACCCTCACTCAGTAGCTTTAATGTGTGAAGGCCTGCAGGTTGTGATGCTGGATAAATGGAGGCAGAGATTGAATGGAGTCAGGATGTGATAATTAAGTATTTGCTAATGCTATCCTGCCCATTATCAAATTAAAATGTATTAATTAAAAAGTAAAACATTATTGTAAAAAATGTGAACTGAGAGTGTAGCAAAGTATTTTGTGCTGAGTGTGTCCTTGAAATTCCCATTAATAAGAGTCTATAGGAGTGTTTTTAAAGACATATAACCAGAAGGACTGATCTTTTCTGTACCATAGCCCTGAGAGGAAGTGAACAAAAAAATCAGTTTTCTAAGTCTCATCTAAATAGTTTTTCTCTCCTGTGTTTACAACATTAAAACGCATGTAAAGAAAAAAAGACTTCAGCATGATAATCTCTCCCTAATCATATATATTGTTCTTTTGTAAAACATTTTTTTTTAATGAGGAATTAGTAGTGTGTTATTGTTAAGTGTACATTTAACATTAGTACAAGAATAATAGGATCATGATATTTAAAGAATGACAGTAATTAGTCATGTGAACTTGACATTTGAACAAATATTGGTATTGCTACTTTAAATGATTATCATAAGATTGCCACTTTGAATTATTATCATACAATTATTATTACCATTACTACTATTAATTATTATTATTACAATAATAATAATAATAATAATTCCATCTTTATGTAATCTCTGCATTGTTTTAACAGAAGGCCTAATTAGTGCAGTGATTTCCAGCGTCAGTCGTCGTTACTCTGTCTATCTGTGTGTGTGTGTGTGTGTGTGTGTGTGTGTGCGTGTGTGTGTGTGTGTGTGTGTGTGTGTGTGTGTGTGTGCGCGTGCGTGTGTGTGTGTGTGTGTGTGTGTGTGTGTGTGTGTGTGTGTGTGTGTGTGTGTGTGTGTGTGTGTGTGTGTGTGTCTGTCTGTCTGTCTGTCTGTCCGGCTCTCGTGAAGCCCCACACAGAGTGTCATGGAGCGGAAGTGAGGGGCCCGGGGTAGAGAGTCCCGGGGCCACTGCTGCTGGCCAATGAGAGGCAAGAATGCAAACACATTACAAAACTGAGCTGTGTCAAGTTGCAGAGAAACAGCCTGATCTAAACCCGGAAACGTTGAGTTTATCCTTTCAAAATAAAAGGGACATTCTGGTCCCAAAGATGATTCATACATATTTTATTTGCAGTATTAAAAAGTAGATATGTAAGAAAACTTTCCACATCCAGTGGAAATCAATGGCTTTTGACATTTTCAGTCATTCTAGGCTATAATAAACCAACTTTTTTTTGTATGGTTTCAGACTTTAAAACCAATAAAAGACACACTGTTGAATTATAAGTGTTGCATCTCTGCAATAGAGCTCATCTGTAGAGAAATATACTGTATATTTTTATTTAGGTGTTGTAAATGCATCAATTACAAATTATTATTGTCATAATAATATTTCACTTCATAATAAAAAAGAAATAATGTATTCAGAGTTAATATAAGTAATGCATTGTGTACAATTTGAATATGTATAGCTATGTCTACGGCACTTAAATCTGTCTATTATTATAATCCTGTATATTTGTATGAATCATTATTTTATTTTTTTAAAACAACATTTTTAAAACACGATGAACATATTGCCGGAAAAAAAATAAATGTGCCATCACAAAGCTAACCAAAATTGAGATACATTATTTGCAATAGACATGGTTTTGTTATTTTTTATTTATTTATATAGCAACTACAGGGCAAGTGCAGACAAATACAGTGTCACGAATACAAAGAGTATTTAGATGTAAAGACAAAAAACAAATGAAAAAATACCAAACAAAGATAAAACTGAGTAATACAATATGTTTCACACGAGTATGTGTGAATGTGAATTACTTTTACATTTGTAGTTAAGTTGTTGAAGCAGTTTCCAATTGGAGTTTTATTTCGAAAAGTCGTACCGGAAGTAGTGTTGTCGGAACAGTCTGCAGCCTCGCGGTCGGCGCTGAGAGCCGGAGGGTGGCGGGCAGGCAGGCAGGCAGTGAAAGTGAAGGCGGAGACCAGCCCAGTGCTGAAAACTCAGCCTCTTCTGGATCCCGTTCAACTTCACTGAACAACCCCAATACCGATCCAAAAAAGTGAGCCGTGAAGAGGAAGGAAGACCAGAAAAAAAGAGAAAAAAAACCCTCGCTGCTCCCAACTTCTGTTCACCGCTATCTGCAAAGAATTGTCTTCCGGTGTTGACTTTTTTTTGCGCGAGCCCTGCAAGAGAAAAAGCCTCCCAAGCACAAAGTTGAACGTGAGAAATGTGAAGCTACCGGCTTGTGTTGTCAACTAGGCTCCAGGATTCCCTATTAATCCATGCAGTACAGTGCAATGGTACGTGAACATGGATTATTATTGCTTTTAAATGTTGTTATGATACCATGTGTGATAATGTCCTGCCCTCGTTCAGAACGGTGGGTTAACCTAACTCAGACCACAACACTGGCACTGCAGGGACAAAACCGTAAAGTTGGCACAGATTCTGCGGCAGGCTATGTTAACATCACATTCCCCCTTAATTTGGCAAATGAACTCTATGTGGACTGGTGACAGCTCACACACACACTCACACACACTCTCTCTCACACACACACACACACACACACACACACACACACACACACACACACACACACACACACACACACACACACACACACACACACACACACACACACACACACACACACTGAAGCCACAAAGTAACAATGTTTAGCTTCCAGTCCATTCAGCATGGGTGCAGTTTAGTTATGAGTGTTTACCAACTGTCCATAAAAAGGTGTTCAGGTAGTTATTTGGCACACTTGAGTTGCCACTATAAAAGGCCAAAAAATAAATAATTCAAAAATAAATTCTCTTTATTATCTAAAAGTTAGAAGCTTAGCATTCCTATGCAATTCTGTAGTTTAAAAAATAAAATGTGTATATTCAATTGGCTGTCATTAAAACACTTTATATATATATATTCCCATAATATTCCCATTAAATTTGCCTGATCCTTTACACATCAGTGACATGTATCTTATGGTTTATTTCATTAACTTTTCAGAGCATTTTAATGTGAGTTCATGTCGGTTGCAATGTCACTGACAGAGTTAAAAGTTATATATCATGGAAAATGGAAAACAGTTGTTGTTGACGCGGGGCTGCGGAGGGAAATGTCCCTTTTCCGTTTTAACCGAGGCTGTGGTCCAAAGTCCCCAAAGAACAACAAATTATGTGGAGTGAATGGGCAGATTAACTGTATGGTGTGTTTTCAGATAGCTAAAGAGAAGAAGAAGGTGCTGGCTGGTGGAGAGGGGTTGTGTGTTTGAAGAAGGAGGAGGAGTGTGACTGTAATTACGTGGGGGAAGAAAAAAAAGAAGTTGGGTCTGATTTGCTGGAATCGCGCAGGACCGAAGGTGCACCGGTCGATTTCATATCAAGTTTGGTTAAAGCTGGGGTGAACATCACACACTGGGCGCCTTCTGAAAGCTTCCCACAATGCTTTTATGAACGAGATATCACAGCAGCAGCGAGCAGCCCCGTGTATAGAGGAGTACGCAGCGGCACCGTGTGCACCGGCTCCACGAGAACAATCCGTTCACCGTGCGACAACTTTTAAAACATAATAACCTCCTGCGTGAAACATCTTCCTTTTCTCTGCGGAGACGACAATCTTTGGATCGCACACTTTTCATGGATGTTCTTGGATAATCTCTCGTTGATTTACGCGGATAGCTGCTCCACAGTCTTGCATGGTGCACATCGGTCCAGGAATGGCGCGATAAAGTGATCAGAGGAATCAGTCCAAGTACATTCACCTCTTGTGTAGCCGTCTCGTCATGTATTCTCCGATTTGTCTTACTCAGGTATTTGTGTCTTTTGTTTTATACATTTAACTGCTTTAATCTGCATATTTGTAATAACATGTTTACAGGCGGTGGCAAGGGAATTCGAAGTTCTGTGCATGCGTCAGGATTAATACTTTTTATAATTTAAATCAACAATTATCCTGGGAGTGGAAATATAGCGTAAGAACTAACCAAAATGTAATATGTTAATCCAATATGTGCCACAATTGGGGTATTTTTTTAACTTTCGAGTGCTTGGATTTCAACAAAACCCCTATCGAAAATCATTTAATAGTTTTTGGCACTTACAAAGTTATTATAGTGCCAATCTTAACGCGCTCTTTGTGTGCGTAAAGTTATGCGTAAAGATGATTTTTTACGATAGCACTCCAAGACTGTCATTTTAACAGTCCTGGCTAATTGGTGCAGGTATGCTCGTTTTCTTAATTAGGTTATTTGCGTCCTCCAATAACCTCACACACTCCTCCCAGCCTAGCTTGAACTGCGTGTATATTTAGTTTTCCACGTGTGTATTTTTATTTAGAGCAAAACCCCTATACTTTAGGGAAGTGGAGTTGGAGATAAAGCCACTTTCACTGCAGGAAGATCAGACCATGATAAGGTTGATTCAGCGTTGGACAGAGTCGCTGACTGTTTTGGCTGACTCAGTTTTACTGTTTATATTTTACTTGGCATAAGTAAGTGATTGACTGAGATGTGGTTTAGTTTGTACTTAAGAGGATTGTGCTTTTATGGCCCCAGCTGAAGTGCACTGCATAGGCCTCGGCCAAGTCATTTATCTTTACAGCATTTGGCTTTAGCTGGCTCAAAAAATTAACAGAATATTTTAAGTGTTTTTCAACAGGAAACCAGGAGTGCTAAAGAGTTCAGAAACAGTTGCCGTCCAGCACATTTTACTGCCTGTTTTTGTCAGTTTAATTGGCAAAATTATAGCGAGGAGATGACATTTTAAGGGGTATCTCAATTTATTTTCATTTATTTTGACCTCTGTAAAACACTTAATAACAACCATAGTAAATAAAAACATTCTAGAACTATATGTTGATAATTAAATATGTATTCACAGTGTAAACTTAATTATTATACTTGACTTTACTCCACTGGAGAAGAGTTTTATTTGCCCGAAAGTGTGTGGCTTGTGAGGAGAGCAGCGGCAGGCGCTCATAGGGAGGGAGAGGGTTTCTGTGGTTTCCTACAGCCTGCCTGACTGGCTGCCCCACAAAAAGAACAATATGTGGTTTAACTCTTCAAACGCCTCCTCAAAAGGGTCTGCTTACACTTTCAAATTTGACATTTTAATACCGTCAAATCCCAGATAAGTTAATGTTTCCACTTGTCACTCAAGCTGCTGTAATTTGTAATGACCTAACCCTAAATCATCCACAGCGTCCTGTACATTCCTCTATTTACACAAAACAAGCATTAAGAGATTATTATAATATATTTGAGACTTAAAGCCCGTAGGCCAGTGGACCACTGTTGAATTGTTGGTGTGCAGCTTTTTTAGGATCATGAGAGATTCTCTCAAATGTAAAAAAATAAAAAAATGTATTAATATTTTCAGTCAATTTTGTTTAAAATGAAAGATAATATGGTATTAAGTGTACTACGGCATGATGCAAAGTAAATAGAAAAACTCAAATAGAACAAAACATTGAAAAAAGTGTTGAAAATATTTCCACTAATATTAATCTAAATCTCTGATAATTGAACGGTAACAAAACAAAGTCAAAGTCGTGTTATAGTCAAATTGAACCTTTTTTAAATTTAAAATAAAAATAAAAATGATACAAGAATATTATTTTTTCGTCTGAAACCCCAGGGCCTTGGCTTATTTTTTCTATAAAGAACATTCAAAAGAAATAAATATAATTTAGTACTCTTTGCTAAAATGCCCCCACATAGTTATGTCCTCAAACAATGATTGGGTCAGTTTGACCTGCATACAACACAGAAACACACAGAAAACACACACACACACACACAAAAGATAGGTTGAACATTTGAAAGTAGGCCATGATTTTAATACGACTGACTCAGGTTTTTGGAATGAAGCTGGGCCATTCTGCGTGTGAACCTCAACACTTTGGCACGAACTTGAAGTCCTAACTCAAATACCTTTCACACAATCGCTTCATTTCATACGCCGCCTTTCTTCTCTGCTAGTATTTGTGAATGTATTTTGAATTAGCAGCCTGCTTGTATGTTCCAGGAGAAAGGGAATCTCCTTAACTTCCTATTTTCTGACTGCACCCCATGACCCTGCAGCTTATCCTGCCTCCTTCGTATAGTTCACAATGGAATGTGGATAGTTTGATAAGAGAAATGCATCAGCTAGGGGGGGCCTGTAGCAGCAGCAGCGTGCCCGGGAAATGAGAGCGGAGACGTGCATTCAGTCAGCGGGCCTACTGCTATTGTAGTGCTGGCAGTTGATATAAACAGTGGAATGTGCCTGTCATACCTGCTGTACGCCTAGATACATCCACGATGGTAAAACCAGTGTTGCATTGTGAAGGGAAACTTCTCTGAAAACTGTTCCAACTGCCAATATTATTTAATGTGACTGATTATGAGACATTGTTTATTTGTGGTCTGTGTTCCCTTCTGCCTCAGATTAGTAGCTGACTGAATCCATATTTCTTCTGTGTGTTTAATGGCATGAGTTTCTGATTACATTTCTCTGTTTCTCTCTCTCCTCACTACAGGATGAATTTCATCCCTTCATCGAGGCACTTCTCCCTCACGTCCGTGCCATAGCCTACACGTGGTTCAACCTCCAGGCCAGAAAACGCAAGTACTTCAAGAAGCACGAGAAGAGGATGTCCAAGGACGAGGAGCGCGCGGTGAAGGACGAGCTTCTGGGCGAGAAGCCTGAGGTAAAGCAGAAATGGGCGTCCAGGCTGCTGGCCAAGCTGCGTAAGGACATTCGGCAGGAGTACCGAGAGGACTTTGTCCTCAGTGTGACGGGCAAGAAGCACCCATGCTGCGTGCAGTCCAACCCGGACCAGAAGGGCAAGATCCGCCGGATCGACTGCTTGAGGCAGGCCGACAAAGTCTGGCGTCTGGACCTGGTGATGGTCATCCTCTTCAAAGGCATCCCTCTGGAAAGTACAGACGGGGAGCGCCTCGTCAAGTCTCAACATTGCACCAACCCCACACTTTGTGTCCAGCCGCACCACATTACAGTATCGGTCAAGGAGCTGGACTTGTTTCTAGCATACTATGTCCAGGACCAAGGTAGGTTCAAGCTCACTCTATCTGTTTCACTGTGTGTGTGTGAGAGCTAATGCGCATGTGTAAATGATGGCTTGGCAAGGTCAGGGGTCACATGTGTTACTTTTTGGCAGTCTCACTGAGGCTGGCTGAAATCACCACTACGTTCGCCAGACAAATAAACATGAGGAACTCGATAGTCCGTACTGTATATACGCAGCATACATTTTAATATGGCTCAAGTGTGACTCATTGCTGAACAAAAAGGCAATCTGTGATACGTTTTAAATAAAGAACATGTTTTAAATGTGTATTTGCTCCGCTGTACTCTGGCGGTTTGCATTACCATCACACACACACACACACACACACACACACACACACACACACACACACACACACACACACACACACACACACACACACACACACACACACACACACACACACACACACACACACACACACACACACACACACACACACACACACACACACTGTACACCTATTTGTTAGGATATTAAGTAGTGACAAATGTGTGAAGTTGCAGTACACTTTGTTAAATTAAAATCAACCCACCAGTAACACAGGATATTTATAAACCCGTTGTTATTCAAGTCCTCGTGTGCATATTTCAAAAAACAGTTTTTTCTTACTGTAAAAAAAAAAAAAAAATTCCCTTAGTCCCTATTATATAATGTAAAATTATGTAATTTTAAAACTTGTCTGTTTTCAATCAAAAATCACATAACGATTTTGGTTTAAAATGAGGTTCCCATGATTTAAAACATGTAGTCATTCTAGCTACACAATTATATTAATAAACATATTGCTGAATAGGTCCCCATTACAGATTAGCATTTAAGATATATAAATACAGTGAAGCTTTAGGCTTCTTTAAATATTTGCAATAGATTTAGGATCATAAAATATGTTGTTTTTATTATAAGTCATGCGTGTGATGTGTGATCGTGTTTGTGCTGAAATCCGTCTTTTCCTAATTCCTGAAAAGCTGGTTTATTTGACATGAAAGCCTTTCCGGACACAGTGATTTTCTCTGTGTGAAGGCTGAATCCTGCATGGTGGTAAATAAGAGGTTGTGTTGCCAGGTGCTGGATTAGGTTTACGTGCATGTTATTTAAAATGAATGTGTTAAAACGCTTTTTCTCCTCTACAAATGAGCACAAAAAATACAAAAATCGATATATATAATACTAGAATTTACTGAAACATTTGAGATAATGTCCAACACTCAATTAAAAGCCTAAATGTATCGCATGGAAGAAATACATTTTGAATTTGTACAGACCTGAATCTGATATTCCATACTACATTTAAATTGAAGGGGAGAGTAATTAAGGACAAAGAGCAGAACATGTTTGGATCTAAATGTACAAATCAATGCTATTTTTATTCTTATTTGGACACCAGATACATACATTTTGTGTTGTTACTCTTGACGTGGTATATTACTACAATTCAGTCCCTAACGGTGTACATCCTACTTTTAACCATTGGCACTATAGGAATCCACAATGTAGTTTTCACTGTTGAAATTCCCCAGTATTAAATCTATTGCAGTGACCCTGAAAAAGCACCAATACTTTGCTATTGAGGGAGGAATGGTGGTATAGCTAGCTCATTATCATCAAACCCTGAGCGCCATTTTGTGTTTGATAAGTGCCAGGGAAAGCAGAAGGCACAGCACACAGACAATAATGGTTGCCACTGGCACCGGGGTTGGCATCAGACCCTCTTTTGTGTCTTTTGTAGGATGCCACCGCTTCTCTAGCTTGCATCTGCTGCATTTTGAACCGTTCAGTAGCAAGTTTGAGAATGGTTCTTTAGTGCTGTTTTTAGATAATGTACTACATTTAAATGATAGTGCCTGTTTTTTACATTATGGAAGGTTTTGCACCAGCTTTCTTTTTTGAAGGAAAATGTGTCCACGATGAAGGGAGAGCAAATGATAACCGAGAAAATCAATTTAAGTGTTTGAAATAAACGGTGAATGTTCTCTTTCGCCGGGAAAAAAAAAGTCCCTCGATTCAATATCGCATTGCGAATCCGAGCGATTATTTCCCGTTGTCCCCGAAATGTCTGTGTTGATACTTTGGCAAATACAAAATGGCATTCTGTCACCGGGATCACAAAGACGCTTTTGCTTTTTTTCTCCGATTTAGCGACCTAAGGCGTCTTTTCCTTTCTTCAAGTTACCAAGCAGTGCCCATCGCCAGACAATGCAGCCATATTGTGGTACCGTGTGGTGCGGCGCCATTTTGTTTTGCACTGTGCCAGGGAGGCAGGCAAATCACCAGTAATGGTTGTTAGAGGTTTGGAGGTTGGCATGAAACCCTCTTTGTCTGCTTGCAGCATGCCTTTGATTCGTTGGTTGGCATCCGCAATGCAGTGGGCACGTTGGAAAGTTTTTTGACCGTCGCAGAATGGAAGCCGCTGCCTTTGTTCTGCTGCAACTGCACGAAACAATCAAATGCACAAAAAAGTAGCAAATGGCTCGGCTGAAACAGAATCTGGCATTCGACCGAACTGCTAGAAAAAAAATAGGTCCGAACGAATGTTGTTCTTTCTGTCCTGGCATCGACTTACTTTTGCTCTAATTTGAAAAACGAAATATGTTGCTCCCTTTATTTACACACCTGTGTTTATTCTGGTCTTTTTTTGGGGTAAAAATCAATAAGTTCAGAGTGCATTCGTTTTTTATTCTGGTCGGTTGCTGCCTGAGAAAGGTCGGCGGGTTGGCAACGAGTGTGCTGGGTGAATTTAGAGAGGGCACTCAGCCCCCTTGTTCTGGGGCACAGACGCGTTTAGCCAGGCTGGGCTGTAGCACCCATGTGCATGCCCAGATGAATGCCCGCTGGGAAGTAGGCTGGGGGCTGGGAGTGGGGGTTGTGGTATCCATTGTGCCAACTGGCAGGCCGTGTTCAATACAGGGCCCTGGCTTCTCACACACACACGGCTGTTGTCCTCCAATGTTTTAATCGTTATCTGATACAACAAGAAGTGCATTTTCTTTTTCTTTGAATCACCTCCTCTCCGCACCTGGATTCATATTTTGCATATCCAGTTTGACAGCTTGATGGAATATTTGTAGCAAGGCATGTAGATAATGGTCATGTTAGGGCACGTCGGGAAAGTCTAGGTCTTGTTTGTATTTGGCTTTGTTGAGCTGCTCATCGCTATTTCCTCAAAAAACATAGCAATGTATTTAACATGGTCAATGAAAACCCTCGCCTCTGAACATTGAAATGTCTGGAATTAATAATAAAAACATATACAAAATAATTCTGATAAGCAATCCTAACTGAACATTTTGGAGGAATTTTGGATAATGTTACGTTTATGTAAAATGTTAAAGTTTTGTGCCTTCTAACCAACATTTTTTATGTATTTTGCAATATTTTCATTGAAAAAGGTAGGAAATGTATAGTAGAAATGAGAAATGACTACGAAAAAGTGTGAAAGTTACCAGAAACAGAAGAGAATTACTGAGGTAGTCAAATAGGAGACTCAATAAGTAAAGGTCAAGCAGCTTACCCAATACTTACTGCTGAAAGTTAACACAGCCATAAAACATCATTACCTTGACACCCCCCCAGTAACGCCACTTTTTTTTCACGGTGTCATGATAGTTTGTGAAAATGGATGGATTACCTCTGAAAATACGCTGCCATGTTAATGGAGACCTTGTTTTACTAGCGGCAGACTTAACCTCTGACCCCCGGGTCGTGACCTTTTCAAAGAGATGTGGCAGGGTGTCCTCTGAAGTTTAATTGAGCACAGATCAGTGAAAACATGGCGTTGTGGGCCTGCGGCACGAGGAGAAGGAAGACTTTTTTGCCCTGGGGGGGGGGGAGTGGTAGCTGGGGAAGCTGCTCATAAGCACCCCTGGTTGACCTCCTAGATGGCGGTCGCAGGATCACTGGTGGTCTTTTGGCAACTGTTTGAACCCTGCTCCTGCTTCTGGTCTGGCTGGTGGTCCCTTGGTTGACTGGCCTAAGTGAGGGGGAGTAGGTACCAGTGACACCCCCCTGTCCAATCCCTCAGGCACCGTCGTCTGGCTGATCTCTAAGGCCGAGCATCGCCTGCTTGCCACGCTGCGTGGGGTCGCTTCTTGCATCTTGTTTTCCGCCCCGCTGCCTCAGAGGCTTTGGTCAGGCGGCCAGTGCGGAGACCTGACCTTCTGGGTCACAGTGGAGGTCTGTGACTAAGCACAACATCCATCCCTCCCTCCCCTCATCCCCCTTATCGTCCTCTGCCATCAGGAATCACCCCTGCGGCAGACTGCCCGGCCAAATGACTCCTTCTCTCTCCCTTTTTTCCCCTCGAGCCCGAGACTCCGACCATGACAGCTGTCCCGGGCCCAGGCGCTCGGCCAGAGAGAGGGTGGCTGGGTTCCGGCCAGAAGTGTGAAAAAAAAAGTGGTTGTAAGCAGACAGCGTTAAGATCACTACTGTTTGTCTTCTTTTTTTTGGGTTAAGTCAAGTAATTCAGCTGCCCTTTTAATTTTAAGTGAGATGAAACTGGAAAAAGTCTCGGGACTGAGTGCATTTTTTTTTACTACTGGACGTGAATTTCAACAGTGAACATTCAGAACAAAAAATCAGCAAGACCGTAAAATACAGCTCCTGGGAAAAACTTTAACCGATGACTCCAGAGCCATATAGAAAAACTCTCCAGATTGAACTGCACAACCCTGAGCTCTGCTTCCATCCTGGCTTCCTTATTAGTATGCAATAGAGCCTGCGGTGTCTGGCTACCTCTCTGTCAGAGCCATAACCTATCGAACACATTCTCTCAATCTAATCCACTTAGAACTCCCTCCCAGCTTCACCGCTTGCCTTATTGATTTCCGCTTCCCACTAAATGTCCTCCCGATCCTTTTTCTCTTAACCCGGCAGCTATTTATGTTTTGCAGTGGTCTTTCTTTCTCTCCTTCTTGCTTCTTGCTTGCCTGCCTTTTGCTTCTTTCTTTCTGTCTGTCTTTCTTTCTTTCGTTCTTTCGT